AACAGGCATTCTTATAAGTTTAATCCAGTATCTAATAATTCTCATTTGACTCTCAATATGCATGTTATAGCGTCCTGTTTCGCCAAGTACGGCTTTATTGGAAGCAAATTTACGTACTGTAAGAAATCTTTGAAAATAGGATGCATGGACAATTTCAATGGCTTCGAAATATTTTGCTTCCCATATTTTTTCATCCATATAACAAAATTGGTGCTATTTTAGTGTAAAAAAGTAAGCAAGTAGAATCAAATGAAACAAACTTATTAGCCTTAAAAAGTTTGAAAATGGAAAATAATGCCTTCTTAGCTTGCGCTGCGAGGGTTTTACATGCCATGGACCAATTTAATCGGCTGGATGATAAAAGACCCAAATATTTATAATACAGTATTTACAACATTCATATTTTGCCACGGAATGACCATTTTTCAGAATGTGCCACTATACCCCCGTTTCTAAAAACAACTATACTAGATTTACCCATATTCAAGTCTAATCACAAAATGTTTGAAGAATATTCAACTGTCTCTACAAACCGTTTACCATAAATGAAAACGTAACAATATTGTCTGCAAACAGAAGTAAAAGTAAATCCTTGATTTTGGGAGTAACAAATATTCCATTATTACATGATTTATACATATTATCTACAAGTTCATTAATAAAAAAGATGAAGAGTAAGGGGCTTCGTGCACAGCCTTGTCTCACACCAGAGGAAGTGTTTAACGTTTCAGTGTTGCCAGAATTAGTTCTAACACAGGCTGCAACAGAGTCATACATGCTTCTTAAAATATCATACATTTTGCCATGGCATCCTTTGGTATGGAACATGAATAGTAATTTCTTACGGTCAACAAAATCAAAGTCGATGAAAGCGCAATAGAATCACCCTTTAGGCCTGCATAGGTATTTTGTATATAATGATTGTAATATAAATAAGTTATCAGATGTACTATATTCGTGTCTAAAACCAGCTTGAGTAGCTTGTCCAGTAGCTCGTTTAGATCAACTCAGGCACGTAAACGCCTTTCTAAAATATTAGCAAATAATTTTCCAGAAATATTTAAGAGAGATATTCCACGATAGTTGGATGGTTCAGATACACTCCGAGACTTGAACAGAGGGACAATCATACCTATATTCCATATCGATGGGAATTTACCATTATCAAGAACTACATTGAATAAATCTTTCACACTAGATATGACACTAGAGAAGTAGAGACCTTGCAGAGACTCCCTACACATGCACATAAAGCGAGCGAATCACCAGGCCTTGATCTGGGTCAATGCTGGCAAGAATCAACCCTGTGTTGCTCACCCTGTGGGCAATGGGTGGCTGAAAGAGTGAGTAAATGCTCTGAAATGTCAATGGACCATAGGCAACATCCTTTCACAAGAGTTGACTGACATAATATCCAGCAAGAACTTTGATTTGAGTAGAATTGAGGATTCAGACGAAGCTGAGATTGAGAGTCTTCCGGACACAATCTGTGATGATTCGGCATAAAGGTACATAAATATAAGTAATGGTAACTCAATGTTATAGGAAGCCAAAGTGAGAATAAGCCATCATGCTTTAAGTGTAGCTGTAACGTTAATTTTAATCATTTTAGAGCAATTGAAGCAAGAATACATTCTTAAACCAACTGCCAACTAGTGTAGAAAACAGCTTTCAAGTTTGATTTTCCCCTTCTAAGCAATGCATTTTTCAAAGTTAGTCTGCCTGTGCCTCTAAGTAATAAATGTTAAATATTTTCATTGTTCCTGATAAAGAGCAGTTATTAGAATGTATTTTGTGAATTAAAAAAAAAAAAATTTTTCGAAATTTTTATTTATTGTTATTTTACCGAACAATGGGGGGAGTTGAGAGTGTGGGGAAGAGATTGTTTCATTTGCAGATGGGTATGTCTTACATACAATGAACAGTGGCCTTCTAGGGTGGTATTTGATTGGATATAGGTGTAAAAACATTTTCGGGTCTACAGAAATGTTTATCGGGAGTGACAGAAGCATTTTTGCGTTTTAAATCCTGTTTCGTATAACGATTCTTCTTTTAGACGTAACCTTGGTCAGCCACGTTCAGAGGCCGATAACCCCTCGACATAGTCAGACGTCGCCCGTTATTTTTGTAGCCAAAAATATATTTTACAAAGCGACGTCGCCCACGACGTATTCTTTTTTTAAGCGCCACGCGATGGCAATTATAGGACACCATAGTTTTGACTCCTCGGCTGTCCCATATCTTTAAAGGTTGGAACGATTCAGTGGAGGTGTGCCTTAATGACGATAGCCATGTATTATGAAGACGCCTTTCCGTTGTACGAGACACGAGGGAAGTATTTTATAGTTACAAGAGCATTTAATTTTGTTCTTAAATTAAATCAGAGATTGGGTTGTGTTATGCACAATGGAATGTACACAAACAATATTTTCCTATTTAAACAACAAATATTATTTGACGAATTCGTTTGTCTCGACACGCCGAAAACCTGGGTCCGATTCCCCACATGTTGGTCGTTGTAACAATGTGTGTTTAAGAAATGTTTCCCATTCCGTAATATTGCTGGAATTCTGCTGAAAGGTCACACGCAAAACCTCCGATTCCCCACATCACTTCCGTAATATTGCTTCTGCTGAAAGGTCACCTCACTCACTCACTCACTCACTCACTCACTCATTTTCCACAAGACAAATGAAAAGTTTTTAACTATTAATTTTACTGCTTCCAACGCACTTTGAGGCGTGTCATCGCATGCCAAGTTGCTGTTGATCACTTGAATGTCTGGTCCAGATTCGATTATTTACAGACCGCCGCCACATAGCTGGAATATTGCTGAGTGCGGCGTTAAACAACAAACCAACCAACCAACTGCGAACAGTAAGTGAAAGTCCAATGTATATTTAATACCACAGGGCACCTGTGAAAGGTCACTTTGTTACATGAGATGAAAGTCAGATTACTTTTGTCAGAAGAAAAGCAGTCATTATGTTAGGTAAAAAAGCGTGCGTGAACTTACGCAGCTTGAAAAGCTAGACTGGGTCGAGGACTCTGGGAAAGACAATAATCACGATAAAGGTCTGTGTCTTTAATCATAAAATGAAGGGCAAAGACATTTTACACAGAGTTGAAAATTGGAAGAACCGTTATTAAATTTGATTATTCTATTTAACCATCAATCATCTCTTCAATAGTCTGTTAAAAGTAATCTGTGCCTGGGTAATTTTGGGTGAAACACATTGGGTCAATGAATACTGGGGTAATAAAAGAATGTGCAGTCACATAACCCTAAGCATGATTGATTGGTTGTAAAATTGAGCCGAAAATAGCAAAGTTATTGATTTTCAAAGAAAAGATGTCTAAGATACCCGCCAGCAGTTCTGTATGATCCGATGTTTTTCAAGTTTTAAGTTCAAATAATTAAAAAAATGTAAACAGATCCTTGTAGAAATAATTATTTGAGCACTGACTTATTTCCAGCACTGATAATATGTGAATATAATATGGCATATAATATGGCTAACTAAAGAAATATCCAGTGGAAATGTCAGTGTTGAAGCTTTAGCGTTTGAACAGTTTCAAAATAAGTCTGATTGGTCCGGCAGTGGTCAAGCGTCACATGACCATCTCACAAGTGGGCATTGTTCGCATCTGTACCGATAACTGATGAATGAATGCAAATTTAAATAAGTTTTGAAGTGATTGAGTTTATTTTTTCGCCGATCTCAGCAATATTCCAGCTATATGGGAGTGGTCTGTAAATATCAAGTCTGGACCAGACAATCCAGTGATCAACAGCATGTACATCGATCTACGTAATTTGGAACCGATGACATCTGTCAACCCAGTCAGGGAGCCTGACCACCCGATCCCGTTAGTCGCCTCTTACGACAAGCATGGGTTACTGAAGATCAATTCTAACCCGGATATTCACGGGTTACGCTGTATGCAGCAATATTCTTTTTAAGACATCCTGCACACATCCTTTATAATCAGTCGTGCTGTATGACCGCTCGATCCGATATACATGTTTTAGGGAAACCTCTTCTTTGCCCCAGAGCCCCACTTGTATCCATTCCATGGAATCACAAGCAACTGTTATAACCATATCGGCTAACACGTGGCACCTCATGGTTTTAACAGTCACATCTTCTAGATTACATAGATACTGAAAACCCCCACGCCCATAGTTCAGGTATGGATAGGGCGGTGGGGTAGCCTAATGGTTAAAGCGTTGGCTCGTCACGCCGAAGACCCGGGTTCGAATCCCCTCATGGGTACAATGTGAAGCCCATTTCTGGTGTCCCCCGCCGTGATGTTGCTGGAATATTGCTAAAAGCGGCGTAAAACAAAACTCAGTCAGTCAAGTATGGATAGTGTATGCTACAAATGATTAATTGATTGACTGTTGTTTAAAGCCGTACTCAGCAATATTCCAGCTATATGGCGGCGGTCTCTATATAATCAAATCGAGTCTGGACCAGACAATCCGGTGATCGTCAACATGAGCATCATTCTACGCAATTGGGTGAGGTGAAAGTGGGTTTAACGTCGTGCTTGAGAATATTTCGCTCATATGACGACGTGCATGCGTGTGTATGTGTATGTGCGGCTGCTTGTACTAGCCCAGACTGAAGCTGGTTTTATAGTGCTAACCCACTGAGATACCATACGCAATTTGGATACGATGACATGTGTTAACCAAGTCAGCGAACCTCAACCCCAGTCCCGTTAGTCGCCTCTTACGACAAGCATGGGTTGCTGAAGGTCAATTCAAGCCCGGATCTTCACGGGTGTGCATGGTACTGTAGTGTTATATTTTAAATTCACATTACATAAAAGCAGACATACACTTCAAAACATTCAAATTTGATTAAGTCAGTATATGATCAAACTTATCAATATTAGGAAATTGGTATACATATGAGGGTATATAGTTACATCGAAGTTTGTGCTACAATGGGCATATGAACATAAAAGTACTCATCTCCTTTTGGTTTCAGATACCGAAAGTCTATTTCCCTGGGAATTTTACTATATCGTCCAGTTTGAATAAACAACAATGCAATGAACATCTGAATCAGGACATTACAACTCTGTATTTACAAAGAAGTGGCTTCAGTAAGTATTCTTTCCTTTTAAACAGTTGCGGTAAAACATGCCTCCTGATGTTAATGTTAGTGAAGAGTGTCGATTTTCATAATCATTATATATGTCTTTTAGAGAGCACATTCTAATGTACGTTCTGAAGATCAATATGTTGCCAATTATATCCAAACTCATTAATGAACTTTTTCACAGATGAAACCCTCTTGTCTTTGTCTAATTTTCAAGAAATATCCTCATATCATAACAGTTTCTTGGATATCTAAAAATTTGTAGAAACTTGAGTTATGATTAGTATTATCCACTTTTCAAGATTTTAATTTTGTACATATATAAGAAAAGGGAATCTGCCACATTCCCCATACACAACTAAATTGTGTTGGGTAACAATCTGAAACCTACAATACTTCATGGCATTTATACTTGAGTATTATTAGAAAAAAATGCATTAATTAATGTGAAATGTAAACCGAGTATTCGGTAATTGCTATGTTATTAGTTTCTAACGTGGAAAATAATGGTCCATAAAACAACAATGACATTTCCCTTGTTATTACCTGTGGGTCATTAAGACCTATAACATCTACTTGGTAATGAGGAAACACTATCGTTCTTGGTACGCAAAATAGTAGGTTAGTAGGCCAGCCAAGTCAGGTTGTTATCACGAACAAAGAAGAGCCAATTAATCCACCTTACCAGAGTACTTAGTTGAAATACAGAAACTTGAATTATTCTTTTAAAAAATGAAGAATTATGTCCGTATTACGAGAGTGAATGAGTGAGTGAGTTTGGTTTTACGCCGCTATTAGCAATATTTCAGCAATATCACGGCGGGGGACACCAGAAATGGGCTTCACACATTGTACCCATGTGGTGAATAGAACCCGGGTCTTCGGCGTGACGAGCGAACACTTTAACCACTAGGCTACCCCACCACCCCCGTTGTACGAGGAAGTGTTTTATAGTTACATTTAATGTTGTTCTTTATATGAGAGATTTCTATGAAATAGTAATTGTTATTGTTGTAATCATCCAGCAAATTGAATCAAACTGTTCTTGATAAAACTCTAGCAGTTGTTGACAGATCATACTTCGAAAATATTAATGCCATGACATAATTATCATAATTTGGTCGTAGTATGACCTTTTCAAAACCTTCAGCGTCAGATGTCGTTTTGTCCGTGCAGGTAATCCAAGGACAGGGTGGCGCCACCTATGTTGTTGAAAGTGGAACTGTGCCCTTTAGCGCATATTTGTTTGTTGTTTAACCCCACAATCGCCAATATTCCACTAATGTGAAGGTGGTCTGCAAATAAACGAGTAAGTCTAGTGATTGATATTATGAGTGTCAACGCAGCTGAGATGATGACACCCAATAAACCAAATGTCCGATCCTGACAACTCGATCAATTAAGTCGCCTTCGACAATTTAGCTTACTGGGGACCTATATTCAACGTTCCCCTTCGGCTTCTCTCAGCATCAACCCGACCCCTTCAGCTTTGAGTCATGTTTGCGGTTTGCGGACCACAACTAGGCTCTGTCTACATGGCTTAAGATGAAACTCACACGTTTCATTAACGTTATTTCCGATCAAAACTAGGAATATGTCCGGCTGAACAAACGAATACGCCCATGAACTTCCCCAAGGTGGTTTACCCCCATGTTCTTCTCTCATCAGTGTGCGATGCACGTCCACCATTGTGCCCCCTAGTGAATGATAACAACAGATCAAAGCCCCCTCGTTGCTACAAAAGTTAGTGCCTATGTATAATGTGCCTGATATGGCCAGCATCACAGAGAAAATGATCGGAATTGATTTCAAAAACATTTGCTGTAATTTGCTCAAATGTCTGTTCGGGTTTACAGCGTCATAAAACAGTGTTATGGATCAGAAGAAGACAAGGCGCATTACAAAGTCTGTAATTCTGCCGTGAAACGTTATATCGCTATAATAAAATCTCCAATTAATTAAGGGACCGACAGAGATGCAACAGTCTCTTTGTTCCCTTAAGTATATTCAAAGATGTGTTTGAAAGCTAAACATCGTTGTTTCCACAGTGGATGTGAAACCCGACCTTTGTGTCGAGCTGGAATATCAGCTTGAAGATGAAATTGACATGATGCTATCAAGTCTTTAAAGACTGCTCAACACAAAACGTCAAAACAGCAACGCGAAATGACCAGCCTCTCGTGTCTAAATCAAAGAGATCCCATTAAAATAGTGATAACAAGTATATAGAAATTCAATGGATCAACGGTTTAACTGTCAAAACAATTTCACTAGGGTGTATATGACAGATTAGTGATGAAAATATATGGAAATTCAATGAATCAACGGTTTAACTTAATCAGTAGGCTGTATATGACAGAATAGTGATGTAAATATATGACAATGTATGGATTAACGGTTTAACTTTGTCAATAGGGTCAGTAGGGTGTATATGACAGAATAGCGATGACAATATATGACAATGTATGGATTAACGGTTTAACTTTGTCAATAGGGTCAATAGGGTGGGTTCATTCTAACTTATCCACCACCCTTTAGTTTTGACAAGGGATTAGATGGGATTAGTTGACACGGGTTAGTGATTACACTGCTCACTCTGAAATTTGGTCCTGGTGGGTGACACTAATTAGCTGATTTGCCCTGTTACAGTGAACAGTGTTCGTGAACTTTAATTAAATTGTGTCGATTATGCTATTTGTGTTTTTTTAATTCAGTGAACACTTTTCACTATTACACGATTATAAAATGGTACATGAGGTTCTTTAAGGTCAGTCACGATGGCTAACCAACAGGTTAATGTCCAGTTTATTCCTAATGGTAGAGGTGGTCAGTACTTAGTGTTCCAAAATCACAAGTTTGTAGTTAAAAGAAGACGAGGAACATCTGTCCATTGGAAACCATCCCAATATCTTCAAGATTATTGAATTCTTGAAAAAAGAACAATCTTACGTAGAGGCATCATGTATGCAATTAAGAGGAGGTGCCAAACCTCCTCGCAAGAAAGTTAAATATGTCAATTTAACAAACAGATTATGTAACATCAAACAGCAATTCTTGGCTGGCCATATGGATGTATATGCATATTGGGATGCAGTATCCCATTTAACAGGCTATTGAGGATTGTCATAGATATTGAATGTATTGTTAATTTTGATATTGTATGTATTGTTGAAATAAAAAAAAATGTAGAAAGACTTACTTTTTTACTACTACATTCAAGGGGGGATCTTATTTCACAGGGAACAAAATTTCAGGGACATCTATTGTCTTGAGGATTATTCCGCTTCAGTGACTTGTCCACCTAGAACAATAGGTGGTGGATAAACGAGAAGACCCCATAGGGTGTGTATGACAGAATAGTGTTGAAAATATATAACGATGTATGGATTAACGGTTTACCTTTGTCAGTAGGGTCAATAGGGTGTATATGACAGAATAGTGATGCCAATATATGACGATATATGGATTAACGGTTTAACTTTGTCAGTAGGGTCAATTGGGTGTATATGACAGAATAGTGATGAAAATATATGACAATGTATGGATTAACGGTTTAACTTTGTCAATAGGGTGTATATGACAGAATAGTGATGAAAATATATAACGATGTATGGATTAACGGTTCAACTTTATCAATAGGGTCAATAGGGTGTATATGACAGAATAGTGATGAAAATATATAACGATGTATGGATTAACGGTTCAACTTTATCAATAGGGTCAATAGGGTGTATATGACAGAATAGTGTTGAAAATATATGAAGATTCACTAAACGTGCTGAAAATCCATTTGAAAGACATTTAAGTAACAGTTTGGGACCGGTTGTATTGGGCGAGCATTTCGTATCAGTTGCCTCCCTTAGACGTTCCAGGATTCCTTGATCATGATCTTTGTTTTTTTCAACTGCAAATTGCTGGTCGAAGCCTTAAACGTCTTACCTCTACCACCTTCAATGTGTCATCCATATTTAAGCGTTGTTGTGTAATAGCAGAGTTGAAACATAGTTAAAAAGATATATATTCACCCGCACACAACAAATACCACGAACCACACATACACCAAGGCGGCGTAAAACAGTACTCATTCTCTCCTTGCTCATCATCACGGTGTCGTCCTCGTTTCAATAAAGGTGTAAACATCATCGTCCTATTGCGCTTTTGAATAAGTGAGGGAGTGAGTTTAGTTTTACGCCGCTCTCAGCAATATTCCAGCTATATGGCGACGGTCTGTAAATAACCGAGTGTGGACCAGACAATCCAGTGATCAAGAGCATGATCATCGATCTGCGCAATTTGGAACCGATGACATGTGTCAACCAAGCCAGCGAGCCTGACCACCCGATCCCGTTAATCGCCTTTTCCCACTTACTGAAGGTACATTCTAACCCGGACCTTCACGGGTCGCTTTTGAATAAAAAAATGAAATGGTGTTAAAATGTCAACCAGACTTTAAACGATGGAGTTTCTGAGTAGACATCAGGAGAGTCAACTGGCACAGCACACGTCTCTGGAGGTCACAGGCCTGGGGTTTGTCCCACCCACTCTATTGATCCCCCCGTCTCTTGTGCCAACTCTCACTGATAATAGGGCCTTCTGGGATGCATCAGTTGAGAAGTATTTCTGCACTGAGGATGCATGGAGGGACCCGTACCGAGTACAAAATGACATACACAATGGCTGCCTTTCGTCTCGACTTTGCAGACGCCATATCCATTTCAGCATAACTCTACTTGATGTTACTCCTATAAGTGAGTGGGTATGGTTTTTTCGTCGAGTTTAGCAAAATTCCAGCTTTATCTCAGCGGGGGGCACCGCAAATGGGCTTCACGTATTGTACCCAAGTGGGGAATCGAACCCGGGTATTCAGCGTGACGAGCGGACGCTTTAATCATTAGGCTACCCCACCGCTCCTACCCCAATCAGCGTCTTGGTAAGCTCCAAACGCGTCTCAGATACATCAGATCCAACAACACCATACTTGCAATTTGTGAAAACGTCAGTTCG